ACATTTTGTTCTGAATTCAAAAGGGGCAGTCCCAAATTGTAATCTTTTGATCACTGACACATATCTGCGTTGTGCCTTAATACCTTTAATTATATTATAGTTAGTATTCAAACAAGCAGTAATATTAGCCTTCTATTATTCAGAAACCAAATTAAAACAGTTTTGCAGACAATACTTGAAGGAGCTCTTTGATGTGTTACACTCATGCCCAGGCTCTCCACAGCGGCGAGGCCATTCATGCAGAGGATCTGGCTAATAGCTCCTGTTCTGACAGACAGAGAACAAGGCACTCCTCTAAGCCAACTGGAACAACTTACACCACATGGACAATGCATACTGACATTTGTGTCTTCACAATTTATAATACATGAACTGATTATTAATCAGTTAAACTTGCTTCTTTGCTAAAGGATGCTGCAGAGCTCATGTTCCTTCCCAGTACCAGAGAAGAAAAACCCAAGTTACACTGAGAGCTGGCTATAGAGGTCTAAGCTCTCTTCTAATATCACCATCCAAAGTGGAAAAGGATGAACTATTTTCTTTTCAATTTTTCTATTAAATTATAGTTCACAATAATTCTATACTTGAGCTTCATTTTCGTTACCTGTCCAACTAACAAAAACAGCCTCTTATTTAAATGGAAGATAGGCCATGTAAAAGCCACTACACATCGTGCTGCCATGTTAAGAACAGCATGGTACATTTGTGTTTAACAATTTGCTCTAAATACTGTACAATGTGAACCTTGTCTCATCTTGTGTTTATATTTTCAAAAGAAACTATTCTCATATTTCTTAAACACAGAACATTTACAATAAGCTCCTAAAACACACAGATCCTAAACAGAACCTGCAGGACATGTCGGGAAGTTTGCTTATGACTCATCTAATAGAGAAAGAGGGGAATAGAAAGAGAAATGCTTGGGAGGACACACTGTGGGCCTTAACCCAGTTAGAAGGTGTTACCTTGGCTTTCTGGTACTAACCCTTAGATCTGCACCAAAGAGCAGCCACTTCACTGCCACTATAGAAATAAAGGACATTAGAATCTCAAAATGGCTAACAAGCAGCTAGTTATTTTAAACCAAATCATTTTTCAAACAGTTACTGATCAAAGGATGAGCTTAAGAAATATTTCCACTTAGTATTTGATTCTTGGAGGGAAGAAGCTCAAAATGCTTAAAACAAGAACTGGGGAAGGGAAAGAAAGAACATATTTAATTAAATCAGTCCTACAATTAAGCAAACGGTCAAAAAATTTTTCTGAAAAACAGTTAAAGTCTATCATGTGCAGTAGTCTTCAACTAACATTCTTCGTGGAAAGACTAGGGTGTAATCCCTAAAGGCTATCATGGCATTTACAAAGCTGGCTGGGGAGACTCTTTGTGTCTAGACAAACACACAAAAGATATTGGCTTCCATGAAGTAGAGATAAAAAGGGATGAAAACAGAAAATCTGAATCCTATTAAAATTGTCCTTTAGTGAAGAGGTTTACTAAAGCAATGGGATTTACTAATGACACTCCTATTTTCTCAGCTACATGTGTGAATTCAAACCCTGACAGTTTACTATGAATTTTGGCAATGTTGTTATTGTGGTAACAACAAAGTCCTCACTGTGGACCTTAGTATTTCCTTCAATGATAGCTCAACTCATTCTAAAAAGCCATAATTTGAAAGCTCCACAAGAGAAACAAAACAAAACAAAAAAAGATCTTAATTGTGATGAAATGTCTGCCAAGAATTAAAATCCGTATTAGAGCCCTGGCCCAGTGCTTTGGAAGCTCACGTTTTCTGGGCTTGGCTCTCATCTTGTGTTTCTTAGCCTCCTTTCTTCTCTCTCCTACCATTTTTCAGCACCCCTGAATTTGATTTCTCTCATTATGTTCTCATAGTATCCAATGATCAACAGCTATTAACACCCAAAACTCCAGATGGGCAGCAAATGTACCTGCTAGACCCTGCAGAGTTTGAGACATGACTGCCCCCATGCAAAAGTTGCAATCTGAAGCTGTAGTTCATGGCTTTACTATTTAAACTTCAATGGCAAAACTACACTTACATTAATTATATGAAAATAAGAGTCTCATCAAAAAATTGTTTTAGTGTCTATTACATCAAATCTGAGACTATTTTGTATGTGTTTTTGTTTGTTTTTTGAGACAGGGTTTCTCTGTATAACAGCCCTAGCCATCCTGGAACTCACTATGTAGACCAGGCTGGTCTCAAACTCTGAGATCTGCCTGCCTCTATCCCACCCTCCCACCCCGACCCTGAGTGCCCAGTGAGCAGTACGTGCTTCTTACTTGCTAAGAAAACACATGTACTTTTCTGCTCAGAGGTTGGGTAAGCATGATCTCCACCTCTTACATGGTTTCAGGAATGGAAGATGATTTAACATTTCCTGATTTTAAAAATAATAAATAGATAAATGTACCTCTCCCCAAATTCAAATAGTTTGTGTGAAAACATACTCTATTAGAAGGTAAGGGTTAATTCTCCCTTAAATAGCTCTAACTATTCTATTTAATTTTTTTTCTTACATTCAATTTAGTATGTAGGTTGTTGCTGCTCATGTGCCAAAGCACACATGGAGGTCAGAGAACAATTTTCAGGACTTGGTTCTCTACTTCTACTGTGTAGGTCGCAGGGATTGAGCTCTGGTCACCATCTTGCTAACCCACATTCTGCTATTTATTTTTGAGTTACCTAACAGTTTGGTTTTCTCAAAAAATAAACTGAGGCATTGAATTCTGATTGGAAAAAAAAAACTGTGTTTCCAGACACTTGCATTATCTATCTACCTTAAGACCTCCAGACTGTTGCAATTCCAAAAGAGACAGAAGACAAAGAACTGACATTGAAGTCAATAGGGGAAAGGTGGCAGCTGGCTTCTTCAAAGTCACTCAGTTCAGTACCCAGCATATTCTAGAGTCCAGCTATCTAGTAGACTGACCTCCAACTACATGGGACAGTATCAACTTGAATAGAATGTAGAAGTCAAGTAATCAGCTACATTTGAAGTGCCTGACATTCATATGTACTTGGGTGGTGACAATCGTACTAGACAAACTGTTAAGCACAATTGCAGAGCATTACATAGTTCTCATCACTGTAGCATGGGCTGGGCATAGAAGCTCTGGCATATAATCCCAGCATTTAGGAGGCCAAGACAACAGCTTGCTGTGAGTTTGAGGTCAGCTGCTTGGGCTTATGGTGTGGAGATTCTGTCTCAAAAAAGAAAAAGAAAGATCTAGTATGACACATGGAAGAACATTCTGCGAGCATTTAAAATGTCTCTACTGGGGCTGGAGTGATAGCTCAGTGGTTAAGGGAACTAGCCACTCTCCCAGAGGACATGGATTTAACTCCTAGCATCCACATGGCAGATCACAACATGCCTGTAACTCCAGTTTCAGGGGACCCACCATGCTCTTTGGTCTCCTTGGGCACTAGGCACACACATAGTACACATACATGCAGGCAATATGCCCATACACATGAAATATTTTTTAAGAAAATGCCTTTACTTAAGTAGATTCAATAATCAAATTAGATTTAACAAGTGATTTCAGCAGTTATTTATTAAAATATTCAAAAAGTACTGCTGAAATAGAAAATGCTAACAAAGATCAAGAATGGAACATCATCAGACTATGATACTCAAAGGGAAAAAAATAATACTGATTCATTAAATGTGCCTAAAGGACATCAATTATTTCAAAAACTATGCTTTAAAATGGTAGCCTGGAGCACATGCCTTTAACCCCAGCACTCGGGAGGCAGAGGCAGGCAGATCTCTGAGTTCCAAGACAACTTGGACTACAGAGTGAGTTCTAGGACAGTCAGGTCTACACAGAGAAACCCCTTCTTGAAAAAAACAAGATAGATAGAAAGATAGATAGATAGATAGATAGATAGATAGATAGATAGATAAAGAAAGAAAGAAAAGTAGTTTGGGGCCATAGAGATAACACAATGGCTGAGAGCACTGGTGATCTTTTAGAGGATCAGAGTTCGATTCCCAGCACCTGCATGGCAGCTCATAAAATTCTGTAACTCCAGATGTGAAGGATCTGGTGCCTTCTTCTGGTCTCCAAGGGAAACAAGGCACATATATGGTATACAGACATAAATGCATGAAGAGCACCAATACACATAAAAATTGATTTTAAAAACAAAACCCCTGCAGTTTGGCAGCAGGACTGGGGGTACAGGTCTGTATAGAGGCAGAGACAGGAGGAACTGAAAGCCTGGATGTATATAATGAGTTCCAGGCTATCATGGGCTAGAGTGAAAAACCTACCTCAAAAACCACAATAAACAAAATACAGAGATTATGAATCTAACAAATCAAACCTTTAGAGAACTCTCAGAATTGTTAATAAATCCTGCACCGAGGTCACACTTTGTTAACTATAACCTTCTCTAAAGCTGAAACAACTTAAACAGCATGCTAATTAATAATTGTAAATACTTGTCTTAAGAGCAAGTGCTCTTGCAGAGAACATAAGTTAAATTCCCAGCACCTACACAGTAGCTCACAACCATTTGAAACGTTAGTCCTAGGGAATTTAGCACCCTCTTCTGGCCTTCACAGGCACTGCATGCACCTGGTGCACAGGACACATGCAGGCAAACACCCAAATACACAAAGAATTTTTTACAAATTGTACATATAGGATAAAATATTGCTGACTAGGCTAAAACACTTTCACGTTAGAATTTATCATCTAAGTGTGAGCTGAAAAGCTCAATGCAGAAATTAAAGTCAGGTCAACCTTATGACTTCTCTAGAGTCCTAGTTTACTAATTAATATTAGATTAAAAAATAACAAGTAATAGACTGCAAACAATAAGACACATGTGCAGCCCAATTAAAATAAAAGCAGTAAGTATCTTTAGTACATGTGTACAGCATTTAGGATATCTTTGCAAGTATCTTAGGAAAAAGTGAAACTATCAGTGACCCACCCCCTCCCAGGTGACCCCTGAACTCACCATCTTTAAAATCGCCCCATACAATCGCAAGAGCACTTTCCGAGGTTCATCACCAACACTGGCTATGGAGTCTGGCAAGGAGCACTGGAACAACATGTTACTGAGACCACCCCTGTGAGATGAGAGAAGACACAGAAGGAAAAGCTCAGCCTTTTTTTCTAGTAAGCACAAGACAAGCTATCAGATGATACAACTGTGCTCATCTGAATCATGGTATATTCGTTCAGGATATTTGAAAACACTGATGATAAACTCCCTTTTTTTTTTTTTTTTGGTTTTTCGAGACAGGTTTCTCTGTGGCTTTGGAGGCTGTCCTGGAACTAGCTCTTGTAGACCAGGCTGATCTTGAACTCAAAGATCCACATGCCTCTACCTCCCAAGTGCTGGGATTAAAGGCGTGCGCCACCAACACCTGACTAAACTCTCATTTTCAAACAAATTCCACAAGTCCAGTTACAAACAGGCAAATACTCAATCTGTTTTTTTTTTTTTTTCTAGCATAGAGACCATGTAATTGTTCTTGTATATCTTAAAAGTGGTAAGGACCAAAAAGGAAACTCCTCGGCACTAAGAATGAGAATGCTGACACCTCCCTGCAAGCCAGGATTTTTCTAGCCTACTATTTTCATTATATTGTCCTGATCACAATATCAAAATCTTGGCAATTTTATTGTTCGTTGATGGGGGATTGCCACCAAGTACATGTGGAAGTTAGGGGACAACCAGGCAAAACCCAGTTCTATGTTGTGGGTGGTCAGTCAGGATCATTCGTGTCCTCATGTCAGCTGACTTGGAGGTAAGTGACCTCACCAACTCAGTGTTCCTTGCCCTTTTGGGACAATCCAAAAACTTCTCCAGGGCTGCTCATTTGGTATGTGATTCCAAGACCTTTCTCTTTTATGCTAAAGTTAGTATAAAACCTCAACCATTTTTAACTAAGTCTTTAAAAAAACCCTACAACATGAACTTGTTTAGGGGCTTTCAAAAGACTGCAATAACCCTCAGACTGATGGCTGGGAATCAAGCATGGAACTGATCAAGACCCCCTGAATGGGGGTGTCAGTGAGGAGGCATAAGTATCTACTGAGCCTTGGGGTAGTAGATCAGTATTTATCCCGGGTATACAAATGGACTTTGGGCTCCCATCCAACAATGAGAGATGCACTCTCACCCTGGACTCTTGGGGAAGGGTCTAGGCCGTGCCCTGGATGAAATGACAGACTATGGACACCCCCATGGAGGGCCTCACCCTCCCTGGGGAAATGAGGGGATATTGGGGGGGTTGGTGGGAGGGCGAGGGAGAGGAGGGAAGGGAAAGGGAGAGAGACATGTGACATGTGAAGCAACCTTGTTTTTAATTTAAATTTAAAAATTAAAAAAAAGATGGCAATAACCTACTGCCACATTCATCTTTCACTGCTAAACCCAAAGGCAAATTACTGGTTCCTTTAAACAGCCTTGGGGCAAATCAACAGCCTGGGCTGGAGAAAACTAGAGACAGAAGAGTTCTTAAAATGAATAGATGACACGAAATTCTGTACAATACGAACCACAGATAAGACCGACTTCAATTGTAGTGGACCTTCAGAGTCCTAAATCCTATTCTGACTCCTGTTTTCAAGATCTAGGAAACCCAAGCTGCCTCCAGGTATATACCACCATACCCAGTTTTTTTTTTTCATTTAATTAGTAAAGAACTTCTAAGTACCCCTATACAACTGTACTCAGTTTGGGTTTTTGTCTGTTTTAGTTAGGTTTTTGAAAACAGGGCCTCATTTATGCCAGCCTGGTCTCAAGCTCACTTCACTATGTAGCCAAGACTGGCTTTGAACTCCTGATCTTCCTGCTAAGGTAGCTCCCACCTCCCAAAGCCCCTGGAATGATAGGCAGTGGAAGCACAGCTGGCTGAAGGTTTTCAGGAGGCTGCTAAAAGCATGTTAAAGAAGGACAGTGAGAGTGTGGGCCTATTCCCAGAAGACAAGGCAGTGTCACTCTCACTTAAAAGCTCAGAAAGAAGTCAGCAGGGAGAGGAGGAACAAGCAGCTTTCCGATTCCTAAGCTAACCTCGGTAGTACCCCCTCTGCAGGGCTTACCACAATTCCCCCACCATGTGCAGTCACAGCCAACGGGGGCTTCTGACTACCAAGCAACAGGACAAGCCCTCAATTTTCTTCCTGTCACATGTTTTCCAAAGCTTGGTCAAATGAAAACAGATGAACTACTGTTCTAAACTGTGTGACTTGACTCCAAGTTTGCTCTATATTCCCACAGAAGGCGGCAGGCTAGCATGGCTAGAAACAAGCTCACACTCAGACATCTTTGGTCTATTGTGTCACCTGTGGTCTCAGTTGTGCAATAGGCTGTAATGAATAAACTGTCTGTTACAGTTTGATGTCAGTCAAAATGAGTGAAACAAGGTCATTAAAGCAGTAGCCTAAGAACTATGAGAAACCAATCAGGAAAAAAGAAACAAAAACAAGACAAAAAAACCCCACAGTGACCAATGAGTCAAATCCTATGACTGGCAACAAGACCTGCTACCAACAAAGGCCATAGAAATGCAGGTTAAAATTTAATTGCCCATTTTACCATAAAGTCATTAAAACATCATCATAAGTAAAAATCCAGACACCCTCACTCAAAAGACTTCAAAGAGATTTGAAGCCACAAATGTATCACTTTGTATATAGCATTTTACAATAAACATGAATGAGTCACAATTCAGCATAGCAAGCACAAGATATTCATGCTAAAAAAAAACACACACACACACACACACACAACCCACTAGCACAACCAGTAGGAAATAGCAAAGAACAGCAGAGGCAGGGGGATCTCTGAATTCCAGCCAGTCTGGTCTATAGAGCTAGTTCTAGGACAGCCAAGACTACACCAAGAAACCCTGTCTCAAAAAACAAAACAAAAAGAAAAAAATAATTCTTGGGGTAGATTTGTAGCTACTGGGTTTTTTGTTTGGGATCAAAAGAATTTAATTTTTTTTTCCTGAGACAGGTTTTCTCTGGTTTTGGAGGCTGTCCTGGAACTAGCTCTTGTAGACCAGGTTGGTCTCGAACTCACAGAGATCCGCCTGCCTCTACCTCCCAAGTGCTGGGATTAAAGGTATGCGCCACCACCCCCGCTAAGAATTTAATTTTAAAAATTTGAGAATATTCATGCTGATTCAGGACTTTACTGGCCTGGAGTCATCATTGTGAACATAAAATATCACTGTAGCTATGGGAAGGGTGAGAAGATACTAAAAAACTCATATTTGAATGGATTCCAGACAGATTACATACTGTTTTTAGTTTTATAATCTTGCTTTTTCTTACTTCATCCTTTCTCTGTGAAAATTTTATAGGGCATGGTAACACTGGCCTTTAATCCCAGCGTTGAGATCTCAGGCGGTACAAAGATGGAGAAATGTTGGACTACAGAAGGATTTCTAGTGGTTAGATAAAGGATAGCATTCCTCTGGAACTTGTAAAACATGTTCATGTCCCCCAAAAGGAGTCATTTCCCTTGCCTCTGGCAGAACCCATGTAAAAGCTAGAAAGTTAATCTGTAATTCCATTGTGCCTCTCTCAAGATGAGAAGCCGAGACAGGAGAATCCCAAGAAGCCCATAGGCCAGGTAACCTGGTATATATATGCAATGAACAACAAAGACACCTTGCCTCAAAAGCAAATGTTGAATGTTGAGGACCAACCTGAGGTTGTCCACATATGTGCTATGGAATGTGCCTGACTCTCTCCTCTCTCTCCTCTCTCTCTCTCTCACACACACACATACACACACACAGAGAGAGAGAGAGAGAGAGAGAGAGAGAGAGAGAGAGAGAGAGAGAGAGAGAGAGACTGTAAGTGATTTATATAGCTCTCTATTGACATATATCTATGGTTGCTGGCCTCCAGGTTTCTTCAGTCCATACTCACAAGTACCTGTTACACATTTCAAAGCTGAAGCTAGTAACCTGGTCCTTCTCATCTCTCTCCATCTCAGGGCTTCTCTCCTCTAGCTACTTCTTTATAATTCATATGATTTGTTCAACCTGCATTCCCTCACTTCTCTTAAAGATGACCCAGGCCATATCCAGTCTGCTTTCTTTTCTCTCTGTGTTGAACTCTCCAGAAGTCTCTGGGTATTTTCTTTTATCTACAATAAAAAAACCTTTCCCCTAATTATAGAGTTATAGTAATGTAACTGTAATTTGGCAGTTACATTACTGTGCCCTCCTTGCATATCCCCAGCACTCAGGAGGTTGAGAAGGCAGATCTCTTGAGTTCCAGACCAACCAGATCAGAGAGAAAGAGAATGCAAACTAGGATCTCATCTAAACCTTTCTGCAAATATCCTTTCTCCAGGCACACAGTACTTTGTTGTGTGGTATTTTGTTTGTATTCTGATAAATAAAGCTTGCTTGGATATCAGAGGGCAGAGCTAGCCATTAGTTAACCATAGAGGCCAAACACTGGTAGCTCATGCCTTTAATCCCAGCACTCAGTAGGCAGGAAGAGGAAGTAATAAAGTGGGCACAACAGGATCTCACCCTTTTGGATGGAGGATTTGGAGAAGTAGGAAGCAACTGGTGACTGCTCTGGGTCGCTGATCCTTCAGGTTTTCTATCAATATTTGACTCCCAATTCTTTATTGATTAAGATTAATTAGATTAACACTTCGGTACTTGATATAACAAGAACTCTTAAAAACCAGTGTTGCTAGCCATGGGGCCCATGACTTTAGTCCAAATGCTCAAAGAGGGCCAGCCCTCAGGAGGCAGAGGCAAGAGGATCTGAGTTTATGGCAGGCCTGGTCCACATGTGAGCTACAGGACAGCCTGGGTGACAGAGTGAGCCCCTGGTTTTTCACTTCGTAGGTCTGTAAGGGCCTACAGACTCTTGCACTTCCATGTCTTCTCCCATCCTTCCACTTTAAAGAACTAGAGAGGTGCTGAGTTTGAGACTAGCCTATTCTACAGAGCAAGTTCCAGGACAACCAGAAAACTTATTATAAAAACAAATAAAAAAACTCCACTAGGCCAGCCTGCCTTTCTCCCCGCTTGTCCTCCAAGACTATAGAAGGGGAAGAGGAAAAACAGCCTGTCCCCTGTGT